AAGTTTAAGCAATTTAATAAAATAAATGAACTATAAGCGTTCTTCGTAGACAATAATCAGGGCCAAATATCGTGCATGCTACACATGCAGAAAGTGTTTGTACGAGGGTTTATCAGAAAGTTAGTGGACCGAGGCGGAAAATAATACTACATATTCTGTGCTTTCAAAAATTATAAGGAACATAAAACAACAAAAAATAAAGAAATTTTGAAATTTTTAGCTTGATACCAGGCGCGTAGCCAGCATGGAAATGAAGTGTACGCAGAAAACGGTCGGGGGTCTGGGGGCCGCCGTAAGGCCCCCAGTGGGTCCAGGGCGAAGCCCTGGTGGGGGCCCAGGGGGCGAAGCCCCCGAAAGCTCCTGGATTTTACATAAAATCTAAGTCATTTTCCTGCATAAGTAATCACACTTAATCTTTTTTTTTCAGAAATTATTCGTAGTTAAGTTAATGCCTTCATGGATACTTCAAGAAGAAAACGATAATATACGGATGTATTTGTATCCGCTTTTATTTCAAACTTTCAATAAAAAAATACTAAACTTACATCAAATATTGGAAAAGAACAATGAAAGCATCAATAATGAAACTTATGATTTAATTCAAATGTGTAACAAATAATTCAGTACAAAACAATGAGTTGACAATTTACTGACTTTCTTTATTGTTAAACAAAAAGACAAGGCGTCTACTTTTGCCCTGAGCAAATTCCTTCACAACAGCCTCGGAGTCAATACGCATGTCCTTGTGGGCATGAAGCATAGCTAACGCTGATAATCGCTCTGTGGACATAGTTGATCGCATGTAACTTTTTACGCGTCTCATTACGCTAAAAGAGCGTTCTGCTGAAGCCGTAGAAACAGGCATGGAAATTAATACAGACAATACTGTGAATATATTTGGATAAAGATCAGGATTTACCGAATGGAGTGTATCTTGCAGAGATGAAGGCATGTTTTCTTCATCTTCTAATGACCATCTTGTGATCCACCTCTTTACCTCTGTGTGAAATACAGCCATTGAAACGGGTATGTCAGCTTTAAAAGCTTCATACAGGGCATTAACTCTGTTGTCAGTGAGCTGTCCAAGGTTGGAAGGTATAAGGTACTGAGCTATGAACCTCTCGCTGCATCCAAGAAGACGATCATCAAGCTCCTGCAATACATGGTCATAAAAAGGAAAGAAGACAGATCTTTTCCAATAAACATCTATCGAGTTTGCAGGAGTGTTAGCACGAAGTGTTTGACGATGAGCACATCTAGGAGATGAAGGTTCTACATCAATTGTAGCAGCAAAGTCCACAGCCGATGCATACAAGGCATCCCACACCATGTCGTCATTTTGCTCGTTTTGAATGACTGCATAGACTGCCTTTGTCTCCTTCATTGCCTCAATAAGATCAGAGTCCTTGGCCTGAAGCAATTCTGACAGGGGTGCTAGTATTTGTAAAACATGCTCGCAGACAACTAGAGGGAGAATGAAATCAAATCTCTCAATGGAACATACATATGTACGAGCCTTTGCATCCGACATTTCGTTTGCTAATCGATGGAGAGTGTCATCGATAACTTCAAGAGATGCTTTAAATGTAAACAATGCATTGGCTTTCGAAGACCATCTTGTCTCGCACAGAGTCTGTAGTTTCTGTTTTTTCTCCATCGAAGCTTTTGCTGCATTGTTCTCTTTCAGCTCCTCCTTAAACACGTTGATACGTTTGGCAGAATACTGAAACGCAAAAGCAATTTGCTGTACGATATCCATCATGTTTCTGATTAAGGGTATTTTACATGCATGGGTTATGACGAGATTTAGGCAATGAGCCTTGCAGTGTGTGTAAAGAGCCCCTGGAATAATTTCACTTATTCTAGCCTGCACTCCTTTTCTCACTCCTGACATGTTTGCGGCACCATCATATCCTTGACCCCTCATCTTATTCAGAGTTACCCCTAGTTGCGTCAGGTTATCTAGAAATGCGTTAGCCAATTCCTCACCCGTTGTCCTCTTCACCTCTGAAAAACCGACAAACTCCTCTCTAACAATTCCCTTCCCTTTGTCGAAAAAACGAAGGACCATAGCCATCTGCTCCATAGTAGAAGCATCTGTTGCTTCATCAGCAATAAATCCAAAGTATGGTGATTTGTTGACATCAAGAATTATAGAGCCAGTTATTTGTTTACAGCACAGTGAAATGAGCTCGTTCTGAATGTCTGGTGAAGTGTACTTAGCTCTTGGGTCAGCATTCTGTAAATGATAGCTTAAAGCTTTGTCTGTTTGGGCTGTGTGGCGAAGAATTGCCATGAAATTGCTATCATCTTCTGTGTGGCCACGCAGTGCAATATTCTGTTGAGCACACAATACAATAACATCAATTCTTTTGAGAACATGTATATTTTTTTCGACAATCGCATCATTTTTACTCAAAATTAAACCCTGTGGATCTCTTCCTGGATTTTGCAGAGTTAAAAGAAAATGCTCAGCCGCATCAACACATCCGTGGTGTTTCGAAGATGGCGCGAGATGTCTAGAAACATATTTTGAAAAGTTCGACCAATCTCGAATAGGAGTGGAGATGAAAGATTTTTCTTTTACTTCAGATCTTCTCACACCAAACAGTACACAATAAACACAAAATACCCCATCGCACGAAACACTGTATCGCAGCCAGGGGTTCTCTTTAACCCATGTTGCATTGAACTTCCTCTTGTTTGCACTGAAAAAAAATTCCCAGTCTAACAAGATACGGCAGAGAAATAATTTAAATATAGTTATCCATGGGAGTTGAAATTTTAGATTATAAACGGTGGGGGGAGGGGGTGTTTACTTTTATATTCCGATAGCTTAAACAAGGTGAGAATGCTTTTAAAATTAATAAATAATAAATCTTAAAATTGGCAACACCAGTAAAAAAAAATATTCATGCATGATCTATATTATCTTTTAATTTGTAAATTTAAATTTTACCATTTAAAATTTTTTTCATTAAACATTTTTATTTCATTACCTCAATGGAAATTGAAATTCTTGTATGGTTGTCCATGAACCTTCCAGTAACTTTTTCTTTATATCAGTGTCCCTAAGATCACTTTCTTTCAATAAATGTATGTCCGGATAATCGGGATTAATACAAGTTGAACATTTTGTTTCATCAATTTTTTCTTCGAGATTTTTGGAAGGTGTTTTTGGATTTTGTTTTAGAAAAGACTTTAAATTCGACTGTATAGACATTCTGAACAAAATTTGAATCGGAAATATAAGATGCAAATTAATTTGAAACACGGATAGTGCTGCATGGTAAATTCTTTTTTCTCCGAATAAATGCCTTTCTTTCTTTTTCTTTAAGTCAATCTGTCACCTTTCTTTCTTTGTTTTTTCATTCATTCATTTATTTTTTTTTATTTACATGATTTTTTTTTGGAAAATGATGTGTACGCACTTGCGTACTTGCGTATAGGCAGCTACGCGCCTGGATACGTTCATTATTTGCGAAATTAAATTAAAATTACTGTAATCGGTATGTCCATCCGTCCGTCTGTTACTCTTTAGGGTACCCATTTCTTATCTGCAACCCCTCTTATACCACCGAGTGACATTTAATGAAACTTGCACAGAATCTTTATTACATTTTGCCATTGTGCACCTCCTATTTTACATTTTGATCCGACACATATTTTGGGGTTTCCCGGCCACAGCAAAACATGGACTTTGTTATCAGTCATAACAAATGGGAGGCGGGGGGTATCATTTAGTAAGCTCATTGCTCACAGTGCCTCTAGTTTTAATTGATAATACAAAAGAAGCTTATGCAGGTCACATAATTTTTTATTTATCTTTATTTCAGTTAATGGAGGATGGGGAATGTGGAGTCAGTGGGTCCAGTCTACGGCGACATGCTCACAAGAAGTACGTTACAGAAATCGTAGCTGTAATAACCCTAGTCCAGAATACAACGGGAATTTTTGTTCAGGGGACTCCAGTGAAACTTCCCGCTGTAATACTTGCAATGGTATGTTTAGATTTAGGGGACATATTTTTCGTATTTGGTATTTACAACCATTAGTGCTGATTTAACGACGTTCGATCCTGATATTTAAAGTCTTAAACTTTTTTTGCCAAATATATTTTTAGTTTCTACATACATAGCTTAATTAAAATTCAAATCAAAAAATGGGGGTAAATGCGCTTCTTTTGGCGCATTTAATATGACCTTATTGCACTGAAATTTGAGTCTTAGTTAAAAATTAAATTTTTGACGTTTTCCCTCCAATATTTTTATCTTATTAAAGCATGAAACAATTGAACTCTTAGTTTGTTTTAAAAAAGACACTTAAAAATTTTAACTTAGAAAAAGTTTCAAATTCCTTCGCATAATCAATTATTTGACCTTTCTGCACTAATAAAAAGGGATTTTTAAGGCATTGAATATTTAATTAACAAGAAAATTATTTTAAAGTCTTAAACGTTTTCTGATTTGAAGCAAATAGGTCAAAATTATCTTGAATATTTAGAAAAGAACATCAAAAGTGGGGGTAGATGATGTACATTTTCAGATATTACTAAAAAAGTGTGAATTTTACGTTAAAATTGGCTCAATTTTTTCCCGGATTTTCAGAATATATTTACTATATTTGTCACACTTTGTTGATAGAATTCATAAAAAATAATTTAATAGATATTTCAGAACCAGTATAACATATTTCACTTCAAAGAACAGCTTTGTGTGCAACCAGCATGGAAAAATAAACATCCAAAATTAACAGTACTGTTATAGTTCAAATGGAAAAAACTGATCATTTTCGTCTATAAAACCTTCCGCCACAAAATATAGTCCCTATCTTAATTCTACTTGAATGGAATTTAATCGCGGTTTTTTTTTCATTGAATACAGTTTAGTTTGCATTGTAGAATTCAGTTTTATTGTTAGAACCTAAAAATAATTTTATGAATAAAGGACCTGCGCGAAATATGCTCAAAATATCAGGATCGAACGTCCTTAACGGTTTCAAACTGTATTTTGTCTGATACTGTTAAACGTAATCTGTTTCATGCAGTTCTGCACATGTCTGGCAATTAGGTTTCAATCAACCGTCAATAATACTTGTAAATAAAATATATTGAGTAAACAAACAGTATTTAAGATCAAAAGTTTGTTAAAAAAAATGAAAATCCAATGCAGATCATTTAATTTGATATTTATGACTCTCAAATGTAACACCCTATTATGAATTACATAATACAATTTTTAACTTAACTACAAATACTTGTAAAAGTTCACTTCTTCACAGTTCCTAAAATGCTTTTGATAATTCGTCGTATAATTTATAAAAGGCATAAGAATAGTCAATGGTACAACTTTCCAAGAAGGAAGAGTAGAGATAAAACATCAAAATGGAACCTGGGGAACCGTCTGTGATGATTACTGGGATGATAATGACGCAACTGTTGTGTGTCGCATGTTAGGATTCTCTGGGTAATATGATGCAAAGTACAAAAAGAGAGGTGGTAGCATTATGTATATCATGCATATTTTTGTGTTTCGGTCAAGAATCATAAATTAGTTACAATTTTGATAATCAAAACTGCAAATAAATAGAATCAAGAGCTTTCGTGTGTTTTCAAAAGTGAAAGATATGTGAATATGTATCAATAATACATGTCAAAATCAAATTAAAATAATCCATTGTTAGAGAAAATACATTCTAGAAACTTTATATTACAATTTTTAAAATACAGAATTTTAATACATGTAATTCAATATTAGTGATCTAAACATCCAAGGCCGCTTATAATTAAGAAATTAAGTCCGCGTTTTCGTGAATGTTGCAGAATAACCTCCGAGGTCGAGAAATGTTGTTTGAAATATAAAAGCCGAGGCGTTAGCCGAGGCTTTTATATTTCAAACAACATTTTGAGACCGAGGAGGTTATTCTGCATCATTCACGACAACAAGGACTTTATTTCTATTCTACCACGGACGATAAATACGGCCGATTGTTTCCTCTATAGAGAAACGAATTAGGTCACCATGTCTCGATTACGCTGTTCTATTTAACACCAAAGAGAGATTTTGTTGACTTACCTATATATGGAATGCAGATATTTGAGCTTTCCTTGCATTAAAAACAGTCTTTTTTAATTACAAATTTGTTCGTAATATGTATTGATCAGTTAAAATGAATATACAAAAACAAAATCATGTTCTTGTTTTACTGCTAAAATCACGTTGTTTAATGTGTAGGGAGGTCCGTGGAATAGCCCCGCTTAGCTATAAAAACCGACATTCATCAGCAACTTGATGCAATTTACAGTGTTTATACTGCAAAAGACGACACATCGATGCGGTCTAATCAAGTATTTCATTCTACAGCCAAACATGCATTTGAATTATCCAGATTTGATACGTGTTTCTGATCTGATAATTTTTTGATGACGTTCGTGGTCTATTGGAGAATAATGTCCGGCGGCTCCTTTGAAGTTTTTCAATAACCGTGGTAGAATGGAAAATTAAGTCCTTGTTACAATTCTGCCAATCCAAAAGCATTTAATGTATTTGTGTTACCAATTGGTTTCAAATGCCAGTACGTTGTTGTAAATGAGAGAGTGATATAATATGCGTTATTCGAAAGCCACAATCATTTAATTGAGTTTAACAGGGCCAGTGTAATTCAAGTGTGCATGACTTTGAACAACTTCTTAGTTTTATGCAATCGTAGGTACAACGTAACACCTATCCGAAGTACTCTATCTTTTCTACAAAATTCACATTGATTTACATTATTTTGTAAGAATACCTAGACTAAACCAGATGGTCCAAAAAAATTTAATTTCATAATCTGGTGACTTTTTACAACAACTCTTAATGTCCAAAGGTAAAATTTTACAACTATTGAGATGACTCCCCTGAGAAATAGGGATGAACATCGTTTGATTTTTTCTTAAAATAATTCATATAATATTAAAAATTCATTCTAGAAAATTTATCAGTATCTTTAGGGTAGAAATAATTAAACTCAGCCTCGTTCATGTATAAGACTTACGGATATTTTTCAAACGCATTATTGTATCTTTTTTTATTAAATTTTTGTTAATTGAATATCTAAATCAGTTTTAAGCAAATCACATCTTTTATGTTTAAAAGAGAAGATTACAACAACCCCGAAAACATAATTAGTGCACATTTCGTATTTCAAGCATAACAGTGCCACTAACGTGTAGTTATTAATCTAAATAAATTATTTTTTTTATCATTTTCCTTTGCATTTAACTGTTGTTAGATATTTTTTTTAGCATTCACAGAATAAAAAAAAATTAAAACTTCGTGTATTTATAGAGGACAGTTCACTTTTTGCATAAAATGGCCCTGTAGATATACCAATTGATTGATCAACACTTGATTTTCCATTTGAGGCATTAAAATAAAATAGACTCGGTGCTTTCATTTCCTTTTAAATTTCTTTCTTATAAAAGTCCAGGTCTTGGGGAACTGGCTTTTTGTTTTAGGTAAACAGGCACAAAAAGGTAAATTTTAGTGAAGAAAAATAGTATGAACGCAATCTCTGATCTAAATAAAAACATGTCTTTTAATCTTCTGATTCAGTTCTATCATTTACTAGTTGCATATTTTAGATCAGAGGTTCTGCTCTGTATTAAATATCCAAAAATAGCTTTTAAAATTGGCAGTTTTTGTAGATGTTTTTCAAAATATGAGGAAATTGACGAATTTCGTGATGTCATAATGCATTGACAGGCCGGAAAATTACTTGTATTTTGGATAGATACACAGTCACCAAAGATCTTCGTGATTTTCGATGCATTATTAACAAAAACTATGCAGTTTCAGTTTTTCAAATAAGGCTAAAGTAAACCTTGTTCTTAACTAATTATTGTCAAACTTAAAATTGTAATCATAGAATGATTGTTTGCTATCGTTTTAATCTTCTTATATTTCGTTCATGGCATGTTAGGCAATCTCGTATTATTGTCCGCATACGCATATAAAGCTTATAACGTCTTTCAAAGTAAACACTACATTAAAAAATTATTGCTTGTGTAATGGTCGAGCCAGTTTTTAATCTTGTTAGTTAGTATCTATCTTTTTCTCAACTACTGTTTCATTTTTATTTTCAGAAGGAAAGTAACTAAAATTTTGCGTCTATAGTAAAAAAAATATAATATGTACCTTTTTTGATATCAACATTTTACATTTAGTACATTTTACACTCATGCTA